GGGGGGGGGGGGGATGTTGGAATAAAAAATGGGAAAGTGGGGTCGCGTCTGTGGGGAATGAAGGAGAAGGCACACTTTTTTATATAAGTATAGTGTGGTGAATAACCGCGCTATACTATAGCGCGATATATATGCGCGTTATACCTTCCCGCCCATTTTAAGTTCAAATTTACGCGGTTATTCACCGCGCTCTATATAAAATAGTGCTCAGTCTTTTCTTCTTCTTTTTTTTTACCTATTATGGTCGCTAAGGTCCAAACAAACCACAATTAGTTTTCGGGCTCACATAATGCAATACTACCCGGTTTGTTTTTCTCAAGAGTTGATAATGTTTTTTATAGAAGGTAACTTGTAAGAACATGCGTTCTTACTAATATTATTGCTTTTATATACTTATATTTATATTGATTAAAATCTTAATATATATTACTTTATGTTTTATAATTTAATATAATTACATAAAAATAAAAAGTAATTAAATTTTTTCATAATATATATTTTAAGATTTCTCTTTTTTAAATAATGCTAATGTAAGCTAATCTTTATTGTCCTTTATCTTAATTTGATACTCAAAAGTACTTTTTGGAAAGATTGGTCAAACACAACTCGCATATCAAATATCGCAACAAGTACTTCTCAAACGAATTGGCCAAATATAAAATGCTAATCTCTAAAAAGTACTTTTTTCGAAAAATATTTTTGAACAAAATTACTTTTTAAAATAAGTAGTTTTTGACAGTTAGGTCAAACAGGATCTAAATTGGAGGGAGGTGTCTAAAATTATTCAGTAAAAATTGCATGGGGCGCACTATTTGGTCGCCCCTTTTTTAACTTATACCCGTTTTATTTTTTCGTTTGCATCCGTACCCATTTTTTTTATTAAAAGTATTTTAAAAAGACGATTTTGCCCTTCTTTAATAAAAGACTGTTGACAAAACTATAGACTGCAGGGCAAAACTTCAGCATTTTTGGTAAAATACTGAAATTTTAGCAAATGAACTAAATAATTTTAGCATGCATTAGAAAAAACTAATAAGAAAATTGCATACTGCAAGACAAAAACTTAAGCATGTTTAGTCTGAAGTTTTAACAAATGAACTAAAAAACTTCAGCTTGTTTAGACTGAAGTTTCGGATAAAACTAATGACAAAACTGTAGACTGCATGACAAAACTTCAGCATATTTTGGTATGAAATTTTAGCAAATGAACTAAATAACTTCTGCATCCATTAGCAAAAACTCATTAGAAAACTACATACTGTAAGATAAAAAGTTAAGCATGTTTAGTTTGAAAGTTTAGCAAATGAACTAAAAAATTTAAGCATGTTTAGTCTGAATTTTTAGCAAATGAACTAAATAACTTCAGCATGCATTAGCAAAAATTCATTAAAAAATTACATATTGCAAAACAAAAATTTAAACATGTTTAGTCTGAAGTTTTAGCAAATGAACTAAAAAACTTAAGCATGTTTAGTCTGAAATTTTAGCAAATGAACTAAATAACTTCAGCATATTTAGACTGAAGTTTCGGATAAAACTCATGACAAAGCTGTAGACTGCATGATAAATAACTTCATGCATTAACATGAAGTTTTAGCTTAAATGTGAAACAACTTCATGCTATATTAGCATGAAGTTTTAGCTTCAACATGTTAGCTTCTAGGTGAAACAACTTAATGTAAGTGTGATTTTGAAGATGAATCTGGTTTTTTGATAAAGCTGCTGAGATCTTTTTTCACGAATGAGGTTTCAGATCACGCGATTAATGCGTTATGCATGTTTTATATCTTTTGTCAGGGGTGTAATTATCATATTATTACGGATTTTTTGTCATCTGGTTATCAAATTAATAAATTTTAAAAATAGGGTATATGTCAAAATGTGACACAAATATAGGGTAAATTCTCAATTATTGATGGTGCAAATATTTGGAAAAAACAAAAACAATAAAGGAAAGGAAAAAAAGCATATAAAGCCGTTACAAGATGTGGCCTACAGTGAAATAGACAAAAGCGAAAAGAGGAACCCATTACTAGAGTTTTAGCTCATTTTGCAATCCATTTGGGACGCGGACTCCATTGTTCACAGCTCAACAGTATAACACTGCTCAGAATTATCGGGGAAAATGAGGAGGGAGAGAGGTAAATTGGTATACAAGATTTACAGAGCCCTAACTTATGGCCTATCGCCGCTGATTCACCTTCACCTGCGGTGGCGCAAATTCCGAGGCCTCGAACATCCTCTCCGCTGGCGCGAGCGTCTCGGATTCCCCTCTTTCCCTCGCCCCCCTGGCCCTCTCCTCTGGTTCCACGCTGTCTCTCTTGGTCATTCTCCTTATCCTTTCATTTTTACTACACTGATTCTAACTCCAATTTATATATAAGAAGAATTAGTGTGTATGTATAGATGCATATGCATACACATATACAGATTCATACATTTCGCGCGTGTGTGTTTTTATATAGAGTTTAAGTTCTATGCATCGACTGTATTTTTATATAGAGTTTAAGTTCTATGCATCGACTGTATTTACACAATCAGGTCATTTGAAAAGTGATTGCTTCAAGTAATTGTTGAGGTTTTTGTTATTTAAGATGAAATAGTCTTAAAATGAGGATGAATGGGAAAATGGAGGGAAAATAAAAATTTTTTGAGTAAAATTTTAAGGTTTCCCCTCTTGACAATGAGACATTGTCCCATATTGGAAGAGAAAAAGATTTTTGGTGGGTATATATATAATTGCTCTTCTTGTAGCTCTTAAAGAGTTAAGAAGAAAGCAAGTCTCGTGCCGCCGCCGTCGTCGCTTGCTCGGCTACGGCTTCGGATTCGGATTTGGTCAAATGATCGATTGATTGATTAATTTTTTGGACCAAATTTATTTGTTAATAGTAAATATTAACGTAAGATTATCCGCATTTGTAACGGATATGTTCCAATCCGTGTATTGACCACCAGCTGCAATAGCAGCCGCCTAATGCTCTTCCCAGTTCCCACCATGGCCAAGTGCCTGCTCCACAAACAAACTAGTGCATGCTACACCATGGAGGGTGGAGGGTCATTCATCTTCAAAGCTGACTGCTATAAATATGTGCAGCAGCTGTTGAAGAAAGACACAACATCACCAACCACTGAAAACGCTCAACTTTGGCTATACATTGCACTCCTTCCTCTCAGCATTTCCATACGATTTTCTGAGTTTCTACTCCTTTGTTCTGCATTGTTTTAACTTCAAACAAAGCAACTGTAAGTGTGATTTGCTACCGAACTTTGTGTTTGCTGAAACACTGGGGTTTGAAGTACCGCTACACCAGTGTGTGATTCGTTCTATCCTGGGAGGAAATAATCCATAACCTTGGGTACTAGGAGGGGATTAAATTCCTTAAGGAAACACTGT